AAATGGTTCTGAAAGTTAACCCCTGTAGAGTTGGTCTTGACCATCCATCATCTGTGAATAATTTCTGGAAATACTCCATTATGCCTTGTTTTATCTCATCCACTTGCTTTAATTCTCTGCCTTCTACTATATTATGTTAATTTCATTCTTGCACCATCTTGCTTTGATGCTCTTATGGAAATAACTGGTGTTTGCATCCCCTATTTTTAACCAGTTCTTTCTCGCTTTCTGTTGGGCCATCTCTTCTTTCAGCTGCATATTCTTTAACAACTTAGCATAATGTTTGCTCCTGGTCATGAGTTCATCATCTGTTAAGCTGCAAGTTTCTCCTTTTCTATCGATTCTGTTTATCTCCTTTCTGGCCTCCTCAATCCTTCTATCCACATCTTGCAAAGAAGACTTAGACCATTCCTTAAGAAAGTCCTTCATCAACTTTAATTTCTCCTTAACAATGAAACCTCCCCATCCTTGAACTTTAAATTCTTTCCATTTTGCTGCAACCATGTCTCTAAATCCAGGAGTATGTAGCCAGGCATTGAAGAACTTGAATGGTTTTGGCCCCCAATTTCGTGTCTCATTTTTTACCAGTATCGGGCAATGATCCGACAGAGATCTAGCAAGTCCCCATTGCTTTAAATCAAGCCATTTTGTCATCCAATCATCATTGAACAAGAACCTATCCAAACGACTCATACATTGTCCATTTGGCTGGTACCATGTGTACTTCCTTCCTAGCAATGGTAAATCTGTCAGGCTGTTATTCACTATAAATTGTTCAAACTCCTTTACTTCTCTCCTGGCGCTCTTACCCCCCTTTCTTTCCTGCAAACTTCTAATAGCATTAAAATCCCCACCAAGACACCAACACCCCCTGTTCTTCCTAAACATCTGTTCAAGTTCTCTCCATACACTCCTCTTCCTCTCAAGATCGCATGGGGAATACACATTACACAGAAAGCATGGTAAGGCATCAGCACCCCATAACCCCTGGATCCCGATGTATCCCTCCCCTTCAAAAACACTTACTTTCTTTAGCACTGCCCTGTTCCATATGATAATTAAACCACCCGAGGCACCCAAGGATGATTTTGCTACCCAATCCATGTCATCTGAATCCCATAACCTTCTACAATAACTTTTATCAACATTTTCTACTTTTGTTTCTTGCAAGAATAAAACCTCCGGTCTATGTTTATTCACCAGCTCACGAATTTACCTCTTTTTCCCGCATCCCCCCAACCCCCTAATGTTTAAAGATAGCACAATCATGGGGAATTAGCAAGCACCTGATTTCTTGTTGTCGGTGTTGCCATATCTTTCCTTCTTCTTTCCTTGTCTCAATGCTCCATTTCTTCAAGCCTTCGGATTGCCGGTAGCTCATCCCCTTTCATTGCAACTCCCAACTCCTTGATATAGCTCCATAAAGCTTCGGAGTCTTTAATTTTGCTCTTCACTCTAATCCCCTTGTTGCAGTTTTGTATATTACTGTCATTTATGGAGTCACCTGCAACTGAGTCCGCTGGATCAACCTGGAATATGATTTGCTGCGTCATTTTCTCTGTCACCGATTGAGTTCCCTTCTTCTTCTTCTTCTTCTGCACCAAAACACCTTCAAGCTCGCCAGATTTCATATACACTGAACGGCACAGCTTCACTTTCCTTTTTTTCTTTTTGCTCTTCTTCCCTTCAAGAACTTTTGCCCACTCCGATAAGTCCCCTGCGTCGCTGTCCATGTCTTCCCAGAACAGGTCTGATTCTGTTGCTCCTGGCCTCACATGCTTGCCCTCTTTTAATTTTTCTTTGGTTTCTTTACTTATCTGATATAGGCTTTGCACTTCTTGATTTTTCCCACCCAATATTGGCCCGTTACTACTCTTACCTGGATCCATCTCATCATTGAGCCCACTCGGCCCATTTCCTTTTGCAATTTTGTCCATTGTTATTTTTGAAATTTTCTCCCCCCCTATCTCTCTCCTTTCCCCATTATTGAAACTGTGGCTGTTCCCGATACTCTCTCTGCATGTTTCCGTCTCCAGCTGGACCTGTCCCTCTTCCTTCTCGAGCCCATCACTCATTAATTGCTTGCTTGTAAGCCCTTCCAAACTACCCGTTGCGCTCCCTGAACTCTGCTGCTTTTCGGCTGTTCCCGCTGACACCAAATCTTCATCTTCTGCTGCTTCTCCAGAACCTAACACGCTCCTTTCTTGTCCATTTGGTTGACCCTTCTTCTTAACAATTGATGTGTCCCCCTCTGATGATGCCACCGTGTCCATATTTCTCTCCGCCTCTTGCTGATTTGTCTCCTGCACTCCTAATTGAATCTCCACGTCATCATCTTCTTCAAATCCTCTATTTTCTGCAGCTTCCATTCCAGGCATGTTGAAATCTATACCGACAGATCCGTCTGTTGAAGATTCCTTGCCTTCCTCGTAAGCTTCTTTAATCTTAAAATCTGTATTCATAACATGCATCCCGTTGCTGGACTCCTCCTCAGAGAACTTAACTGTAAAAATGATTCCATTAACCTTTATTGATAAAGATTTTGAAATGGATTCCGTTACGGGCGTTGATAAGAGGAATCTAGCAACGTCAAGGCGTTTTTTCTTGCTTGTGCTATCATCCACCGAAACAAAAGCGCCCCACAGATTTCCGAGTGATTGGAAAAAGTCCGTCTTCCATGCGTGTGGAGGTAATCCCAAGCATCTAATCCATGCGAACCTCTCCCTTGCCACCATGTTTGGTGACCATGGTTTGATTTCTTCGAACCAATTTCCTAACCAATCTTTGCCATTTTCGACCAGCTCCTTTAAGTCTTCATATTCATTTCCTTCTAACAGCACCAACCTTCCTTCCATTGCTCTGATCTTGCAGTAAAAGACTCCTTCCATATAAAATTTCTCCTGCAAAGTTGGAATCAAGGTTATGGAATGAATAGTCCCAACAAAACATTTCTCCAGCCACTGGTACTCTTCCTTGTTAACTTTGAGCTCCATTCCTGTCCATGCTTGTGGTTGTATTTTAGGCTTCCATCTCCATCTTCTTTGCTCATTTGCACTGTTAGTTTTGGTATGATCCCTTCCTTCCACTCCGTGGAAGTGTCCCCTTCTCATTCCATGCACTTTGTTTTCTGTTATCATTCCTTTGACTGCATCCGCATAAGACTTTTTCTGTTGCCATTCAACATCATCTTTAACCATCCCTCTCCTTATATTTTCTGTGTTCCAGTGGTGCTGTTTTTCATGCCATGTTTTACCAAACCGTGGTTTGTTGGCTTGAAGTTTGATTCCTGCAATTTGAATCTGATTCAACTTTCTTTCCAGCTCACCAGTATCTTTAACCTCCAAGAATCTAACAAACCCAAATCTCCTTCCCAGCCGATCCCTCTTCTTTGGGCATTCAATCTCGATCACCCTACCCCCGTCCAACCTGTTGAAAGTTCTCCACATCTGTTCAAAAGTCCAGTCTTCTGGAAAGTTTGTGAAGAAGAATGGAGTTGCTTGATTGTATACTTTCTTCTCAAAACCCCCATAAAACTGCATTGGTCGATCCTTGCTCTGCATCTGGATACCCTCATACCGCTGTGTTGTCCGCTGTCGTCGTGTTCTGCTGTCGACCCTTCTCTCCCAGCCTCGCCCTCTCTCTCTCGATCTCTCTCTCATCGTGTGATTAAGTGGAGTACTTACTAAACTCAAGAGACTCTCAATTTTCAAGTAACCTAATAGTTTCGCTTAAAGACCCACAAATAAATAGTGATTTGGCCATTTTCTTTTCGTGCAAACTAAATAAGACTTGATTTTAGTGTTTATTAGCTGGATTTTTAAAAAATTAGAAGAAAAACACTTCAAAATTACATTATTTTAATAAAGAGTTTCAAAAAAAAAAAAAACCAAAACAATGTTAATTATTCTTTAAAAATAGGGTTTTTTTGGTTATTTTTTAATGAGAGTTTACTAACATAACATACTAGTTTTAGGGTGTTTTTCCTCTTAATTTTTTAGAGGTTGGTTGACAAATACTTTTCTTATAAAACTTTTACCTTTGCCTGAAATGTGCCTGCCCTGCATTTGATCCACCATTCGCAAAGTGAACTCCGCCAATATTTTAGAACTACTAGGGGTTGCTTTTGGATCTGCCAAAGCCAAATATAGAGAAATATGACTGCCCAATCCGTGACGCCTTCCCTTTGGATACATCTGTATCTTCCTATTGAACAAAGCCATTTTGAACTCTGTGAGATTCTATGTATAGGAGTAAAAGGAAGGAAGAAACAAAAACTCTTCATATAAATATCAGTATATCATACCATTTATTATCCCCGGGGAAAAATGTTTGTGAGTCATAGCATTCTAAGTCCATCTTTGAAAAGTTTTCAATACTCCAAGTATGCTTGGAACTGGTGGGATCCTTTATCATTGATAAGGAATCTCCTTTTCCCGTGCTCATCTCCTTGGTAACAAACACCTCTGCTCCAAAAACACATGTATCATCCACAAGGTATCCACTGTCGACATCATTGAATGTTCTGAGTGGCAGGAATTGATCGAAGCCCCATTGATTTCTCAATCCACGGAAGCGTCTTTCCTTTCCGGTAGCATCTAGGCATGACAGTTATTAGAGATTAATTAATACTTTTCTTGGCAGTAGCAAGGCTAGATGAATATAATACAGATGCTTCATGTAATGAGTAAATTATATGAAGCCAGGGAAACTAAGAAGTTCGAAAAGGATTAATTGAGATTATACCATGAACGACCAAATAATTGTCCTGGTTCTGATCAAGCAAAAACAATTTGAAACGGGCACAGACCTCCGAACTGCGGGAATCTGTATCAGCAATTGCTAGATAGAGAGAGATGTAGTCCTTGACATTCCTACGTTTATTTCCACTTGGGCAGAGAACCAATTTCCGTATATATATTCACAGAAAGAGAACGAAGTCCCCACTTGAGATGAACTCATTTAGTTGTAAATCATAGGGCAAAATAAAGTATGTGATTTTGTAGTGAAGAAAAGGAGAAGTAGAAAACCTTACCATTTGTAGCCTTCGGACTCAGAATCCCCAGATTCATATTTTTCTACTGAGTTTTTCAAAAACAATGAGAATAACTGTATCTTGACCAAGTAATGAGTTGGTGGGGCATCTGATATAGATCTTGCACACCTACAAATACAATAATATATAATTGCAGCTATATTAACTAGTCTTTTTGGAAAGTTGGTTTTATTTTCTTTGTTGGGTGTTCTACCCTCGCTGCTTTAGTGTTGCTGGTTTTTTAAGCAACAAGTTAGTTTTTGTATACACGGGTTTGAGTACCCCTTGTACTCATCAAATAAATATATTAATATTCTTTTGCCTTTCAAAAAAAAAAATTAATGCCACTATACCATTTAAGAACAGGAAAAAATTAATGAGCATAAAATTAATAGAGTAGAATTTGCAATGGAAAATGAATTAAGAGAGACAAGTACCATCTTGGGTAGTAGAGACAGGAAGAGCCATGGGAAAAGATTTGATTTGGAATTCTGGATACAGCAGGCTTCCTGTTTATAATACAGATCAAAAGGCTGGTACTCCAAACTTGAAAAAGTTTGTTCAAGGACTGAAATTCTTTATCCTTTTCTTGGAGAGAGGCTGCTTATGAATAGAAGAAAAAAAAATATTAAGGATTCGAACTCTATATATATCCTTTGCTTAGAGTAAACTGCTTTTGATCTATGCAAGCAAAGTATCCATTCTTTGAATAAGCATTAATTCTGTAAGAAATGGTAAAGATAAGTACATGAGTTTCACAACTTTACTAATAAAGGATAAAGACTTTTTTGCTTACTAATTAAGGCTATGAACTTTCTAAAGTTACTAATAAAGGATATGAACTTTTAGTTTTTACTAATCAAGGATTAAGTGAATGTCCAAGCTGACGTGGCAAATGAGATCTGTTAATGGGCCCCATACTTTATGCTGACATGTTAAGAAAAGGAGTCATGCATGCTGAAGTTTGACAATAAATTGATAAACGAAATAAAAGAGACTTGTGGGACTCACAAAGATTATGTTCTTCTACTTTTTTGGGATATAGGAGTCTTGTGTTTAATTATTTATCAATTTATTGTCTGAGTCAGCATAAAAAGCCCATTGTCTTAATACATCAACTTAAATTTTAGGGTCCACCAACTGATTCCGTTTGCCACACCAGCTTGAAGACTTGGACATCTACTTAATGCTTAGTAAAAACTGAAAGTTCATATGCTAGACTAGTAAAAACTCAGTTTATATCCTTGATAAGTAACTTTTGAATGTACATAGTCTTAATTAATAAGTAAAAAAAGTTTGTATCTTCATTTAGTAAAATTGTGAAAATTGGCGTCCTTATGAATATCTTTTCTCTTCATTCTCTGCTTACAGTTGTCAATAACTAACATTAAGAAAAACTACATAGTTTTTAAACATTCAAAACAATTATCCTTACAATTACAAAGTCCAAATTAAGGAATGCAACTCATGGGGCTATGGTTATGACCACCATTAAATTTTGAAGCATTTCATCTATTTGAACAAGAAGAGGTTGGCATAGTTCATTCGCCTGGTTTACTTAATCGGCCGGCTGTTGTTCATCTGTCTGGTATAGTTCATCCGTCGGGAATTGTTCATCCGCCATCACCTACTCAAAATGTGAAATTCTTTGTTGGAGAGGAAATATCAAGGCTGATTCATATGCAGTCATTTCTCTTAATGAAATCTCATATGAATTTTAAAGTATAAAAAGCTAATTGTGTCTCATAAATTTCAAGACTATTATGAGATAATTAAGAAAGAATAATGAATTTTGTCAATATATATCATTAATTTTTGTTGTATAAAATTTTCATGTCATTAATTTAAAGAAAAAACAGGTTTTGACATCAATTAATATGTCATGTAAACAAAAATTTAGGAAATGACAAAAAAAAGTCAAAATTTAAACTTTAAGGGCTAAAGAGGGACCAAAATAAGAGTTCACACCAAATTTGAGGGACCAAAATTAAGGTTTAACCATTATAAAATCTCTTTGTTTTATTGAATCTTCTTCTAATTGTGGAAATATCTTAATTTTAGAAAAGTTAAGACTTTCCAGCACTGTGTATTTTCTAGAAGTGCTTGTGTACAGTAGCAATTAAGCTGCATATTGGCTTCACTTAATGTAAACCCCAATAATTTTTCTATTTGCAAAATAAAATTCATTATTGTCAGTGCAATTGGCTTACTAAAAATTATTCTCGGCTTCACTTATTGTAAGTCCCAAGCCATTTGTAATAAGCCCACAGATGGTTGATATCTTTTTTTTTGACAGCGACGATTTATGTCTTGAGCATTCTCAAGATTTGCAATTTGAGGTCCTGGCATCATTTTGGAAAAGAAACTACTAGCCATTCTTTTTTTTTTGGACAGCAAAAATTTTTATTCAAATGGAGTACAAGGGGTACTCCCAACCCATAAACATCAAT